TCTGTCATTATTTCTGTGAACAAGTTTTTTTCTTTAATGTCATTTGTACTATGTTCTACTTTTTCATTGGCTCTGATCAATCTTATGTTATTCTTCCTTTCATAATGCAGCAGGTGCTGTATTGATTTTTCATGGTTCCTCACTATTTTTAAGAAAGTTTACTTTGCATGACTGCTAGGCACAGTCTTGTCTCCTAGCAATGACATTCTGTCCTCACATTGGTTCATTATACTGCACATACTTTCATCAGACTATGTAATCTCCTAGGTATCTAACTGAATCTGTCTCATGGAATAATCCTTTCCTATTTTGGGCATTCATGTTTTCCATGGTTTTGCTATGCTGTTCTATTTTTTATTTTTATCATTTTAGATTCCCTAATCATGTCCTCCTTAATATGGCCATTGTCTCTGATGTTATCTAAGCAATTATTTCTCTTTTGATTTTTTTTAGAGTCTCATTCATTTGCTTTGTTACTTCTGCTGTTACTACTTCAGGGAGTCCAGGTGGGTGGCTTTTGAATTGTTTTACCTCACTGCCTATTGGGTTTGCCTTTGGTGGGCTGGAAGGCTGAGGTTGTGTTTTGAGTCTGTCTTCTGATTTTCCATTTTTAAAGTTTTAATTCCTGTGTTGATGCTCATAATTATTTATGGTAGGTATTCTTATTGATAATTTCAAGAACCCTTAGGAAATAACTCTTTGTCAGAGATGACTTCCAGTTTAGCTGGATTTTGGGGTTTGATTCTGTTGCAAGAACCTATTTCTTCAATTTAGTGGGAATGAAAAGTTGCTGTATACTTGGCCTAGGCTCTGGTTCTGGTACTGGGCTATAGCTCTGTTTATGACCCGCAGGCAATCTCAATCTTGGCATAAAAGAAGAAAAACTGGTAAGAACAATTATATCACTACTACTTCTAAAGTAGTAGACTCATTAATAACAATAACATCAAACACAGAAAATTACAAGTTGGTAATTACTAATTTCCCACCTTTAACTACATAAATAGGATTTGTAGTAATATAACAAATTTTAAAACAAACTAGAAAGTTATGTACAGTAAATACTACCTCCATATGTGATTTTACCCTCAAGAAAGAAAAGTTAAAAAGAATTACTAGAAAAAAATAGAGAAACAGAAGAAGAGAAAGGGATTACAAGTAAGGTTGGGGACAAATAAAGATTGCACAAGCTTTGGGAACTAGTGAAGTAGACAAGAGGAAAAGAAAGAAGGAAGACATGGAAATGAACAGAACAAAACAAACAAAAATTAAAAAGCTGTACACAATGGTATCATTTGTAAAAATAAAAACAGTAAAAAAGAAAGAATAGAAAATAAAAATTAAATAAAAAACAAAGAAAGGAAGAAAAGTAGGAAACAAATATATCCACTTTACTGCATATCTCTGCTGTCACTGGTTGGCAGAGGGAGCAGACAGAACTCTGATCTCTGCTGATCCCATTAAGACAGCAGTGAAATTATGGCAGTGCCAGATAATGGCAACAAATCTGGGCCTTTAGTTCCTGAAGTTCAGGGTGCTCTTGGTTTCTGCCTTTGTAGCCCTAGATTTTTAGACCATAACACTCCAAATGAATCCTGGTTGCTTGTATTCAGCTTCCTGACATCCCATCAGTTTGAGCTCGGTTGCACCTCACCCTGACATTTGGTGTCAGCTTGCAGCTGCAAGGTGGTGCCACCCGTAAAACTGTTCTGAGTTCTTACTTACTTTGGGCCCTTTCCAAGTGACTACTGGCCAACTGACCCCTCCTGGGAGCATTTGCACTCAATTAATTTACCAGTTACTATAGTTTGCAGTCTTTACTGCTGCAGCCCACGGGTGTATTTCTCTGTGGAGGCCTCCTGGATCACCAGTAGTCACCATGCCTCTGCAGCCACCATGCCTTTGAATCACCCTCCCGTGCCATAAGCCAGGGGTTGAGGAGAAAGTGCCATTTGCCACTTCCCTCCTGTATGCTGTGATCCTTCTTCCCTTACACTATGGACTCGAGTTTTCACTTCTGATTCTTGCTGCATCCCACAAATTCACTTCTTCTTTTCCTCACGTTCCTTTATTCCAGTACCTGGATGCCAAATATTAGAGATGCTGTTTGTTGCTCACTATCATATTTCTCTGCCATATTTTGGGAAGCCTTGCTAAAACAGGCTTTTTAAAAGCTGACATTGTCGCACATACATGTAGTCCTAGCACTTGGTGGGGAGGAGGCTCAAGAAGGAGAATTGCAGTGAGTTTGAGGCCAGCCTGGGCCACACAGTGAGTTCAAAACCTGTTTGAACTACATAGTGAGACCCTGTTTCAAAAAGCAAAACAAATCAGCTTTAGTATGATAACTCACGTATCATACAGTGGAACCATTTAAAGCATGCAATTCAGTGGTTCTCAGAGAAAGGTGCAACCGTCATTACCATCAGTTTTGGCACGTTTCATTACCCCCCAAATAACCATCTCTTGTTCTCCCATGTTTTTCCCCAGTCCTGGGTCCAACTAACCCTGTTTTCTCCAGCCCTGGCCCTGGCTAGTCACTTATCTACTTTCTGGCTCAATATTTTTGCCCATACTGGGTATGGTTTTTAAATCTTTTAAATCTAACTTTAATTGTATATATACTTTCATTAATATTTTCCCTTTCTTCTCTCCCTCTTGAACACTGAAGCTTCTTGTAAACACCATTCTACTCTCTATAGTACTGCTATGAGACATTTTTACTGGTGATCATATGAAGTATTTTAAGGGATTTCTAATGGTAAGCCATTCCTTCATTGGTGGGATAACCAACTTGGTCATGGTATTTCACAAATCATACATTGTTATGTTAGAATTGCTAATATTATAAGTTTTTAAAAGTGTGTTTTATAAAAAAACCAATCATCAGTATTTTTTCTTGTAGTATGCTTGTCTGCATTTGGTAACAAAATAATACTGGATTCTTAAAATGAGTTGAGAAATATTTCCTCCTGTTCTGTTCTCTGAAAAACTTTGTATGACTCAGAAACTCATCTCATTTATCAGGTAGAATTTGCAATAAAACTGTCTTGTCCTGGTAATTTTTCTCTTTTTTGTGATGGTTTAGGTTTTTGTTTACTCATTGAATTTCATTAAAAGACATTTTATTTCCTGCTAATTTCTTTTTGTGTGTATTCTATAAATATTTTTTGTGGTTACCATTGTAACCACAAACAAAAAAATTAAATTTATAACAATATATTATTTTAAACTAAAAATCACTTAACTTCAATCACATGTAAACTCTATTTCCTTTTTCTTTTTTTAGTGTATCTTGACCATTTTTTATAAAATTGCCTGTAGAGAAGAGAGGTCTTTATTTTTATAAAAATTTAATTTTATTTTATTAATACCTGTTTGCAATTCATGCAGTTTACTGTCATCTTGGGGAGTGGTTACATGCATATTACTGCTTTTGATTTCTAACTCCCTTCCCCTTCCTTTCTCCTCCTCTCTGGTTCCTCTATCACAGTTTTTCATACTTGTTGATACTATTGTCTTAGCTCACATTGTGTCACTGAAGTTATTAGTGGCCAGAACATGGTATATATATATATTCCATGTCTTTTCATTTCTGCTTTTCTTTTGTGGTATTGTTGGGGACAATTATCCTTTTTGTTACTACATGTTTATTAACATAGATTCATAATTACTTTTTGTACTTTAAAAATTTCCATACCAAATTAAAACTGATTTACTCAGTTGCATTATAATAATATAGAATCCCGTGATACAGTTAACTTCCTAGTAGAGATTTTTTTTCTGGAATGAAATCTTAGGATGTTATCACTTTGAATTAATTTCTTAGCTTGAGGTTTCATAAACTGCAGAAGTACTATAATTTAAACATAAAAGCACGTTTGATGGCTGTTTTTCTCCTTTTCACCAATATATAGGTGAAGTTAATGACGAATTGCTCACTGGAGAAACAAAACTTACATCAATTTTGCCTTCTCTATAGCTCCAGTCCATTGATCTGCTCATAGCACATTTCAGTTAATCCAAGAGGTTAAGCCTTTTTGAGGCTTCTAGGAGTCAGAAGGTAGCTGGAGATGAAATTCAGCCTCAGAGATTTTGATAGAGCATCACTCGCACTAACATTTTCAATGGAATGTGATCAAATATTCATTAATTTTTCATAAAAATGAACAGTGTCTACTTGTCAGTTATTAGTCTAGGCATTAAAAACTTGAGAACAAATAGAGACAAAACAATGGAACCAATCCATGGACACATGGGCTTCATATCTAAAGGAAGATGCCTTTTCTGTGTCTGGTGCAATCAGAAATTGGTCATTTACTTCAAAACTAAAATACTTCTGTTTTGCACTCTCTGTGAATGGAAACAAACAGCCAGCACTCGGCAGGCAATGGGATAATGTTTCTCTGTGTCCCAGGGAAGCATTCTGAGTCAGCTGACTCCGCCATGGAGCACCCCTCAGCCTTTAATTAGAACACTGATGTTCTTATAGAAATGTACAGAAAAGTACCTGTCCTACATCGGAATAGGTACAAATCTTATTTCAGTTGAATACATAACTCAAATTACACCATTTTGAGTTATTTTTCTTGTTCACTATCTAGAACAGAAATTTCTAAACGTTAGTGTAAAAGAATTATCTGAAGAACCATCTACTTTCTGCAAGTGCTTAGAGTCCATGGGTAGATAAAAACAAATACATGAAACACATGGTGGGCAATTGCATTTGAAACCAAAAGCACAAACTAGTCAGTAAAGAAAAGTTTCTGAAATTGGACTGGTGAAGAAGAATTCTCTATGGAGCTGAGATTCATCATGACTTATAACATGATTATATGCTTTGTGTAAAAGGCAGTTGACATCCAGGGGCCAGAGAGAAGGCACAGACTGCCCTGAATGGCATCCAACAGAGGGAAATTCCCAGTTGTCACACTCTTGGAGGAGAATGTAGTTTTGGTTTTGCCAAGATAACCCACTGAATTTTTGTCTTCATTTTCAAGATTGAGGAGACAGAAGAGATACACGAGCAATTCCAAACGTTTTTGAATGAAATAAGAAAACTCTCAGATGATTATGAATTGTACCTAGCCAATAGACTGTTTGGAGAGAAAACATATCTCTTTCTTCAAGTAAGTTTTGCAGTTTCTATCACATCTGTGTTAGTTACGAGTGACCAAATGGCTCTGTCAGGACAGGAGTTCTGGGGGCTTTTCCCAAAGTTAGCTGCATGGTTCTGCCCACATCACTGGTGGTCCTTCTGGCCTGCTTACCCAACATTCAACTTCTATTCAGTCCTGGTAACCTGATCATGATATTTGCCTTAATATCATTGTACCTGTGTAAAATCATACATGAAGGTACTCAAAATTATTTTTCCAGAGTCTAAAAATTCTTCTTGTGACATTAGTTGTCCCAGTGAACACAAAATTTTATTTAGAGATGCAGGCAATTGAAAGGTTGACTTTAAAATGTCTTTCTGTTTCTTCCCTGTTTCTCCTAAAGAAATATTTAGATTATGTTGAGAAATATTACCACGCATCTCTGGAACCTGTTGATTTTGTGAATGCAGCTGACCAAAGTCGAAAGAAGATTAATGCTTGGGTTGAAAGCCAAACAAATGGTAGAGTATGGGTGGGTCATTCATCAGGCGGACACTTCTTGACTACTTTCTGTGAGTGAAATCTTGGATTTGACCTTGCATGATTCCCTCTGGGAAGGGACTTGAGATGGTTTTGGCAGGGATTGAAAGACAAATTTGGGTTTGAGGGGTATGAGAAGGCCCTGCAGATAGTGATACAGTCACGGCAAGTGTAGAGAGATTCAAGGGAAAACAGTAAAGGAACCAAAAAAGCCAACAGGTGCAAGCAATTAGGGAAGAATTGTTTGTCCACGGATTATAATATATTTAATCTTCTATAAACTGGGTTCATGCCTATGTTCAGTTTATTATTTCTTTTATATCAAAGCATTTCTTTCTGAGCCAGAGTCCATAAGTGCAAATGTCTAGATGGTTTTCTTTTCTTTTTTAAGTGGATTCTTTATTCAAGACCTGTCTCTGCTGCCTACAGCTGGGACCACATGGGCATTGTCTCCATTTGTACATTGTGCCAGCTTGATACAACTTTTGTGTCCATCCCCAGCAAGGAATTAAATTAATTCCTCATGTAATTCTCCCTTTCTCATTCCCAAGCATGAGCCAAACATATATGAAATGCTGGAGAGAAATGTTAATGTGGAAATAGGCCATGCAGAGCAAGAACTGACATTTAACATTTGTATTCCAGTTATAAGAGATACCTCTGTTAAAAGAAACTGTATATCTTTTCATTCTTTAGAGAAATAAAATTAAAAGAATAAAAAGTAAGGGGTCTATCAGAAGGCTCACTGAAGCTAGGAATTTAGCTCAGTGGCGTAAGCGCCTGCCTCACAAGCACAAGTTCTTGAGTTCGATTCCTGATACAAAAAAAAAAAAAAAAAAAAAAAAAAAACACACAACAACAAAAAACAAACCAAACCAAACCAAAACAAAAAACTCTCACTGAATAGTATTTTTCAGAATTTAGTGTGGGGTGCATTGAACCAAGAATGCAAAATAGCAACACCCTTTCCCATAGAATAAGTACTCTCTAAATCTCAGGTACAAATTCTATTGCAAAGGTAAGAATAATAGTTAACAGTGGAGGCTTATGATATGCCAAATAGTGTTTCACATATATCACTCCTTTCATCAATTTGCAGATAAGATTTATTTCTATTTTTCATATGTGGAAACTGAGGCACACAGAACATAGATAGATTCTTCGCTGATAGAGGGCAAAACTAGGTGCAGAGTCAGTCTGGTCCCTGAGCCTGAACCACCAACCTCAGTTTATCTAGTGAGGTGAACAGGCAATGGACAAAATGAGAACCTCCACTGACTGCGACAGTAAACTCGTTGGCAGCAAAACCTTCAGGTATTGACCTGGCTGAGTTTTTAATTATTTGTCAAATCCATCTGTATCATATCTATCACACATATCATTTGTCATGTGGAACACCAGTCAATTCTTTGGTCTGTTTGCAGAAAAAATCAAGGATCTGTTTCCAGAAAACTCCCTGAGTAGCTCCACCAAGCTGGTGCTGATAAATGCAATTTATTTGAAAGGGAAATGGGATAAGGAGTTCAAAAAAGAAAATACCAAGGAGGAGGAATTTTGGCTAAATAAGGTATGATCTTTTATTGAATCAGTATGCTTATACATTGTTTTAGTTACTTATTGCTGGGACAAAAAACTCAACATCCAGTGTTAAGGGAAGAATAGTTTGTAGAGATTTCAGTCCATGATTGACTGGCTCTAAGGCAGTGTGAATGGAAGACAGGCACTGTAGAGGAGAAAAGTTTGTGGCAGGCAGAACATAGCAAAGCAAGCAAGGGTCGACCACAGCTCTTTCTATCCCTTATATCATATCCATCTACTTGGTGGGCAGCACTCACACCCTTAATCTTAGCGCTCTTGATCCTAGCATTGCACCATGAATCACGTATTCTAACTCCAGTTCCCTCTGAAAAAACCCCACCGATGACTGAATTAGACTTGAATAGGAGAGCATCTAAACACAAGCTCTAACACACATGTAATATAGAATGTAAAGTTATATTTAAGCTAATGTGCACTGGAAGATAGCAAATGTTCTTACGGAAATTCTAAGCTTTGGCATCTTTTTACACTGAACTAATTATTTTGGTGAGCTCACTTGGTTGCCTTATGACTCTTGCCTTACGTTTTTGACATTGTGTGCTCTATTGATTTGTTGCAGAGTGCAAGTAAATCTGTGCATATGATGGCACAGCGCCATTCTTTTAGCTTTGTTTATCTGGAGGACTTGCAGGCCAAAATTGTGGAGATCCCATATAAAAACAGTGAGCTCAGCATGTTTGTGCTTCTGCCCAATGATATTGATGGTCTGGAGAAGGTAAGCTCTTTGCATCTCCTTATTCGTGCTTTTATTTCCTGAGACTTTCACTTTGGGTTCTAGCACTTGCACCGAGTGAGTCAGTAAACAGGGCATCTGAATAGAAGCTGCTACCTGGCAGTGTCAGTACAAAGTATCTTTGTGTGCAGCAGCTGGAGATGTCCGTCTAAGGAGGAGCATTAAATGGTATCAGCCTTATTGAGGATAACCAGTATCCCAATATTTGGGGATGAGCTAAAATGAACACTGAAGGTTATATGAGAGTTCTAAGAAATGGTTGATATCTATGGATTCCTTTCCTGGAAAAAGCACATGCATATACAGAGCAAATTTTGTTTATCTGACATTTTGAGTTTATCTTTGATCCTTAGTTTTGAACCAGGTGACTTGAGTCATGAGTCACCCACTTTAGTTACAACATTCACATATCTAGAGTTTGGACTTCAAAAAGGCTTTATTTCAATTTTTTGCTCCTTTAGTAACTTTCTGACTGTTGAAGTTTTCTAATTTTCATGAACCTCAGTATTTTTCCAGGTATAAGTTTTGGCTTTAATGAGTGCTTAATATTATGCAAGATTGAGGAAAATGAATCCTAGAATGGGCCAAGGACATAGAAAGCACTCAATAAATGATATCTGCTAAGTGATTAAAATACAAGATTAAGAAAAATAAAATACCAGATTTAATCTGTGCTGTGAAATTTATATGGTAAGCTTATAAGTTAGAAGATATTTTGGGACAGCAAAATGATATTATACTCTCAAAGACCTCAAAGAAGTTTTGAAAACTGATTCAAAAGTCTTAGGTGTGGGAATTACCTCAAGTAAATAAAGCAGAAGACAAAAGCTGGCTTTCTGGGTGAAATCAGTAATTTCAACATTGAATGTACCAGGATACCTAGTTTGAAATTCATAGTAATTGACATTTCTATATGTGTAAAATTTAGCAGCGTCTATCACAAGGTTTGACACATACTAGATGTCTCTAAAGTGAATGAATGGGTGAGTGTTGACTAAAATTTGTAAACTTAATGGGGATAGTATCTATCAACTTGAAGGTGTTTAGGATAGATACATAATACTGTGACAGAGTTAAATTTTTTAATAGACGATCACTATGATAGGAACTATATATGACTAAAAAACTAAAGAGGGATGGAAAACAATGACCTACTAAAGATTGTCACAGAAATGACTTTTGAATCTTTCAAAACTGATTTTATGAGATTGAGTTTTCATGTATGCACAGAGAATTTAAATAGCGAAATAATGCCTGCCTACTATACAAAAGCAATAGTGTAGTGAAATAAAATTTTATTTGTCCTTAAATATTAATAATTTCTGACTAATATAAATCAAATACTGTACTGTTTTAAATTTTTATTGATGATTAATACAATCTGTCTTCTTTTAAAAAAATAGATTGTAGATAAAGTAAGTCCTGAGAAGTTAGTGGAATGGACCAACCCGGGACAAATGGAAACAAGGAACGTGAGTCTGCGCTTGCCTCGGTTCGAAGTGCAGGACACTTACGACCTGGAGGCTGCCCTGGTAGCTCTGGGGTTGGGAGAAGCTTTCAGCGAGCAGAATGTGAACTGCTCAGGAATGTGCCTGCAATCTGAGCTGCAGGCCCAGAAGTTCCTGCACATGTCCTTCCTGGAGGTGACCGAGGCTGGCACTGAGGCCACTGCAGCCACCAGCATGGCCTTTACTGTCTCATCAGACTCAGACTGTGAATATGTTCATTGTAATCATCCGTTCATCTTCTTCATCAGACATAATGATTCCAACAACATCCTCTTTTTCGGGAGATTTTCTTCTCCTTAAAACCGTCAGGGAGGCAGGCATCGTGGCACGTGCCTATAATCCTACTGCTCTAGGAGGCTGCGGCGGATCTTGCATGGTCCCGTCCTGGGCAACAGAGTGACTTAGCAAGAACTTGTCTCAAAATAAAATTTTAATAAATGGACTGGGGATGGCATGGGTTCAGCCCCACTATGAGAGGAGGTATAAGATGGGGAGGTAGGGAGTGAAGCGGGGGGGAGATCATGGCTTTTCTTAGAAAATGACAAGCTGAGTTGAAGCTGAATTGAAGTATTAGTAGAATTATGGAAAGTGTCCATGCATTGCAATTCCAATCTTGCCATTAAATCAATGATTTAATGACCACAATAAAGTATGTTTATAACTTTCCTTGAAAGTGAAATATCTTTTTGTGCCATGTGTAAGGTGAGTCAAACCAAAGATCATTCATTCATTCATTCTTGGTTTCCTTTTGAAAATAAATTATTCACACCATGAAGACTGTGGGCCCTTCAGTTCTGGTATTTTGAAAATTTATAATACACAAGTAAAATAGAATAATAATTTTCTCAATTATGTGTTACTTTTTTCTTTCACCAAGTTGCATGCAGAGAATTTAGAGACACATTCATGAAATGGAAATTAAAATTCACATGGGAGAATAACATAAATTAATAAGCCAAAGAAGATTTACATATTTCATCTTCTCTTCTAACATAGTGTGTTACCCATTTGCACAAACATTTTGATATCTAAAAGAAGCACGATAGTTGGGAACATATATATTGTGTTGATCAAAATACCTACCTTATCATTCAATTAGGCTTTAGAAAGTTGATACCTGGAATGATATTTAGAAATTATGCATTTGAAATTTTGGCCATTCTGAATAATGATGCTACCATAAGAACATTTTGTATATGTTTTTGCATAACTGTGATCTTTTTGCCAATTCCCCTTTCATTTTGTATTTTTTGAGTGAGATTTAGGTGTCACCAAATGGTATTTTCTTTTTCTGATGCTCCTCATTGTGGACGCATATTACTTTTATGGGTTTTTAATAAGAATACATTATTCATTTCTTGACAGTTTTGTTGAGCTCTAATTTAAATACCTTAAAATTCATACACTGTAAGTTACAATTCATTCATTTTTGCTAATTTTTCAGTGATGGACATCTATCATCATAATTCAGTTTTAAAATGTTTTCATATACAATGGAATATTACTCAGCTATAAAGAGGATGATCTTGAAGCTTTATAAGTAAATGGAGGCAACTTGAGACTATCCTGATAAGTGAAATAAATCAGACTCACATTTGTAAATATCATATTGTCTCTCTAGTATAAAAAATAACAAACTGAAAAAGTAATGATTCAAAATGTATAATATTATGACAATGAAAAGAAAATAAAGTGCTCTAAAGGATATAATTGTATGTGTATATAAGTGTGCAAGATAGATAACCATGCTACTAAGTTTTTGTTAGTTCATCAAACAGAATGGTTTGTACTGGCACTGACTGTCTACTTTTTATGCTTTGATTTTGTGACGAGCAGCTACTTCTAAGATAACAATATGTAATTTATAAACTAGTGATTTCTTACTTTTTGTGAAATTCTGTATTATTTCTATCCCTTTTTATGATTTGATTTTTTTCTCTAAATAAAAAAAATCCTTTTTCCAGTTGCCACTTCGCATCCCAGGCAATCGTTGTTTTTTCTTTTTTCTTTTTCTTTTTGTCTTCATAATCTTAAAAATTTTTGTATAAATGGAATCCTACAATATATAATATTTTACATCTGGCTTTTTTAAAGCATGATTTTGAGGTTTATCTTTATATATTGATGAGCATGTATTTTTTTTTTTTTTTGTCTTTTTCCTTTTTACTGGTACCAGGGATCGAACTCACGACCGCCTGCTTGCAAGGCAGGTGCTTATGCCGCTGAGCTAAATCCCCAGCCCCTTGATGAGCATGTATTAATGCAGCACATATTGATTCTTAATTCTTCTTTATTGTTGAATCTACTTCATGGATTATTCCCATTTTTTGGCTCTTATGAGTAATGCTGCTATGAACAGTTCTATAAAGATCTTGGTATAGACATAGGTTTTCACTTAAGTAGATCTTTATGAGTAGAATTACAGGTCTATGATGAATTTCTTGGCTTTTTAAGAAAGTGCAAACTATTTTCCAATGTTTTCACTTTACATTGCCACCAGCAATGTATAAAGTTCTAGACTTTATATTCTTGCCAATATCATTAATGTGTCATTATGATTATAGTCATTCTAATGATAGAAGTGATATCTCATTGTGGTTTCATTTACATTTCTTTAATGATTAGGTTGAACATTTTTATGTATTTACTTGTCAGTTGTATGATTTCTGTAGTGAAATACATAATCATACCATTTGCTCATTTTAAAATTAGGTAGTTTGTTTTCTTAGTTTATTTACTGCATTAAAAGTCTTTTTTATATAGTGATAAATCATTTATTTCAATATACACACACTCTATGTTGTCTTTTTTCTTATTCCTGTCTTTGAAAATGTTTTTAAAATAACTTATATACCATGACTTTTTTGTATGTCATATATTTCTACATTAATAATGTACAATTAAGTGGTTTTACTATATTCACAGTGTTGTGTAGACATGTCTACTATCTAATTAAAACATATCTAACATGCTCATTAACTGTAACTTCTCATTGCTTTTGCCTTTAAATCATGGAAATCATCATTCCACTGTCTTTCTGGATTTGCCTATTATGGACATATATAAATGACATCATTCATTTGCTTAGCATAATGATTTCAAGGTTCATCTAAATGTAGCATGAATTACTTTCATTCTTTATTATGGTTAATATTTGATTGCACAGTTATGTCAAATTTTGTGTATCCATTCATTGGCTTATAAACACATGCATTTGAAATTTTGGCCATTCTGAATAAAGATGCTACCATAGGAACATTTTGTATATGTTTTTGCATAGACATATATTCTAATTTCTCTTGGATTTATTTCAGGAATGAAATTTCTGGGTCATGTAGTATTTTTATGCTTATCATTTTGAGGAACTACAACATCATTTTCCAAAGCATAATTTCACACTCCCACAGCAATGTACATGAGTTTCTGTTTTTCACATTGTTGCCAGTAGTCACAATTTGTCTTTCTAATTTTAGCTGCCCTAGTGATTGTGAAGTTTTATGGCATATTTTGAAATGTGATTGGAGTCAAATTTATTAATGTTAATTTTTGCAGTTCTGGGAATTTAGCCCAGGGTTCCACACTCCAGTCTTATTGATATTATCTTTTAAGGATCACACTGTTGGTATCAAATTTAGGTCCTCTTTCACTAATCTCAAGTTTCAAAATATACACTCTAGGTTTATTCCTTAGGTGTTTTTAGTTCTTCTATGTACAACCACAGTCCATTTATCTGTGTATGTTCTTAGTGTGGGATAAAGGCAGAAGTTCATTTTTTTGCATAGGAATATGCAATCCTCCAGCATTATTTCTTTAAAAGACGATCATTTTGGTCTTGCATTTTCCTGGCATTTTAGTCTTGAATTTTCCTGGCATTTTGATGAAAAATCAATTGAATATAAATAAAACGTTTTATGTCTGGGCTCTCAGTTGTGTTCTACTGCTCTGTGTCCCTATACTTGTGCTAGTACTGTTGTAATTCTGAAATCAGTGGTCATATGTATTTTGTTCTCTTTCAAAATTATTTTAGTCATTATGTGTCTTCTTCATTTGCATATACATTTAGAATGTTTGTCTATTTATTTAAAAATTGCTATTTTGATAAGAATTACATTAAATAAATTTATCAAGTTTGAGTTTTCTGATCTATGAATATACGATATGTAGGTTTACTTAGCAATCTCATTCTTCTGTGATATTTTGTAGTTGCTACTGTGCAAGTTTTTCATTGCATTTCTTTTGACATTTTTTGATGGTAGCATGAGTGGGATTAGTTTTTAAATTTTACTTTATTATTGCCTTATAGTATATAGACCTCTGATTTGTTTTTGTGTAAAAATTTTATACTTCCATTTTGTTAACTCATTTATTAGTTTTAATAGTTTTTTATGGATTTCTTAAAAATTTCTAAAATTTAGCTTGAACATGCTTTATCAGGATGTGGGGTTTCCTTTTTATTCCTGATTTGTTAAAGTTTTATTGCAAAATTTTTGTTACATGATTTAGATTCTTGTATTGGGATCACATGTGATTTTTTTCTATTCATACAGTATGTTGGATATTAAATTATCCATTCAGTCCTGGGTTAAATACAACTTGACACTGGTAAATAATCCATGCTGCATGTTATTAGATTTATCTTACTAAGATTTATAGATTTTTGAATATATGTTTCCAAAGTATAAAACATCTTTGTCTTGAGACAGCCTTGGGAGGTAGTTCAGGCTGGTCTGGAGTTTGCTATGCAGCTTGGGCTGAACTTGTATTCATGATCCTTTTGTCTTTACTTCCTGAACTGTGGGATTACAGGTGTGTATCATTGTACCTGGCTAGGAATGTTGATGCTTAGTTTTATATTTTTGTTGTGATTTTGTGTACTTTTAATATTAGTTAATAGCAGCTATGCAGAATGAATTTGATGTTCCCTTTTTTTTGTTTTTCAGGAGTCTGGGGAAGATTTTTATTTCTGCTATAAATATCTGAGAGAATTCCTTAGTAAATTTATTTGGCTCTGGAGTTTTATTTGAAGGAATATTTTTAAAAGTACTGACTCAATTTTTACATGTAATGTTTTCATTCTATTTTTAAATTTCTTCTTCAGTTAATTTTGTTAATTTAAAATACTTGCAGAATTTATCATTTTTATGAAAAGATTTCAACTTGTTGACATGTGTTGTAGTCAAGGGTTGTGCAGAGAACAATTAGAATCAGGACACAAAATTTATACAATTATTTTATGATGGCCACCCGGGGTAAAACACAAGAAAGTGCAGGAAATCTGTCCACAACACTAAAGAGCCAGAATATTCGGCCAAGGACCTGGCTGATGTCCTGCATGAGTCCACATGAAAACCTAGAGCCCATTGACAATGCTTCGCATGAATCCAACTAGAGGTATAGAACCCAGGAGAAGGACTCCTGCCATTCTGTTTTATGGATCTGCACTGGGAAGGCCTAAAAGTTAGCAGTGGAAGCTAGAAAGTCTATGTCAGCAAGGTGAAGGAGCTGTGCTGGTAGGTTGAGGGTTCTACATTGGAGCCGAGAAGTCACTCTCAAAATAAAAACCAGGGCTGCCCTGAAAAACACCACAGCAATCCTTAGTGACACGCAGGTCCTGAGCTCCTCTGATGATAAGATCAGTCAAATGCATACCAGGAAGCCAGCATGAC